CATTCATCAAAACTTTTAACAGAATCAAATATTTTTGGTAATATGAAATTCAACAGCGACCACAACTCTGGTAAATTATTTTGCAACGGTGTTCCAGTAAGAATCAATCGATAACGGCATTGATAATTATTGGTCAAGATCATTGACAATTTAGAATTGACATTTTTCATACGATGACCTTCATCAACAATCACATAAACCCATTTCACTTTCCCTAGAACTGACTTGTCCTTAATTATATATTCATAAGTGGTAAGTAAGACCTGGAAATTTATATGCTTGACGTATTCTTTTTGTAGTTCTTTACGGGCAGATGGTGTACCCTTGTAAACACATTTTATGACCGACGGTGCCCATTTTTCGAATTCAATTGTCCAATTTGTTAATGTGGATAATGGAACTACAATCAAAAATGGTCCATTTTGATTCTTCTTTTCTATAAGATAAGTTATTAATGAGATAGTCTGAATCGTTTTTCCAAGACCCATTTCATCGGCAAGTATTCCATTCAATCTGTTGTTGTATAATGACACCATCCATTCTAATCCCTTTACTTGATAGTCCTTTAAAGTTCCGCCTCTTAAGTTGGCTGGTTGCTTTACTTCTTCTTTAATTCTATGAGCAACTTGATAATAATCAATTTTTTTACCATTCATAATTGCAAATGTGTCATCATCTTTGTCCATCAGTTCAATCCCACCTCTAACAGAAGGATTATCATGCACCTCATCATGTTGTTGTGCAACAACAGCATGTGCCAAAGAGTCAAGATATGCATTAGTTTGTTCCAGTAGATGAGCGATTCTAGTATCCTTTGCTTTGTCTATAAGCTTCAAGTAAGCCTCCTCGTCGTCATTTTTCAAAGCTTTCAAACGTTCTTTTGATAAACGATCATTCTTTTTCAACTCTTCTTTCTCGATCTGAGCATGATAATTTAGAACAGCTCGACCAAATTTCAATTTTTTAGATTGATTTGCACGATGCCATTGTATTACTTCGCGACTATGATTACAAACTCTGTTTAAGAAACTGTAATGTTTTTGTTTTTGATGTTTTTGATAATCTTCACGTTGCTGCCTTTCTAGTCTCTCAGTTAATTTTAAGTCGCGCATGGATTTTTTTTTTAATTTCTTGTAAATGGAACGATTTGTTGATGATGCTAGTAGAGTGACTTGATTTTTATATTTGAGAATGTCTTGACGAACCTAAATATTAAAAAAAAAATAGATAATATAAGCTAAAACATTACGTATATTATTATTATTATATAAAAAATATTTACTTTTTTCTGAAAATTTCGTAATTTTAATTGTCGAAGTTCAATCTCTGCTTTTTTATATTCATTTAATGATTCCCAATTATCTAATTCCATATTATGATCAATGTAATCATAGCCATTACCATAGTTGTTACTAATACCGTCATCATAATCATTGCCATTATCAATATTATTGCTATTATCATTGTCATCTTTTTTATTTTCTAAAAATTGTTCTAATTCATTTATTCTATGATTAATTTTTGTCTGTATGAATGTTTCACGTTCCTTAGCGATGATAATTGGATCAATTCCCATTGGTGGAACACCAGGGATCAATAATCTTTGTTGTCTTGATGCTTGTGAGTAGAGGTTTACAGGAGGAGGTTTTATATATGGTTGTTGTTGTTGTTGTTGTTGATATGGATTATTATAATAGTGCGGTTGATTAGAATGTTGATATTGATGATTATTACTATTACTAGTATTGTAGTGAAGATTACTGCTATTGTTGTTGTAAGAGGAATATGCTGATGATGAAGTTGCCGATGATGTTGATGATGATTGAAATGCATAAGTAGTCGTCGTTGTAGTTGTAGGAGGATGATGATTGACAGCAGAATTAGAATATGTAGATGCATATGGAGCAGTAGCTGATGATGATGCTAATGATGATGATGATGATGATGCAACGGCTGCAGTAGATGCAGAAGCTGAAGTGGATTGACGAGTATGATAATCAAGTGATTCCTGTACAATTTTTTCAATTAAAGAATCGGTTGGATCTTTTGACACTAGTTCTTTTAATTTCTCTGGATTAAATAATACTTCAATCAACAATGAAGGTATTGGTAAGTTCCGCATTACTAATTGATATGCAAACATCTGATATTTTAATTTTATTAGTTGTTCTTGTGATAATTGTAACGAAGAAGAATCATTATCAGTGTCGTTATCGGTGTTATTATCATTGTTATTATTAATGTTATTGTTCTTATAAGTACCATTATTAATTATTGAATTAGTTATTGTGGTTGTTGTTGAATTTCATATTACCAAAAATATTTGATTCTGTTAAAAGTTTTGATGAATGGTTCAACACTCCATTTGCAAACACTGGCGGTCAGGACAAAATAGCTTTGAACGAAGAAGAATCGCTGCTTATTATTAGACGTCTACACAAGGTACAATTGATGTTAAAATATTTTTTATTTGTTATTATAATAATGATAATGATACACAGCATATTTATGCTAACAATATAACTCATAATTTCATTATTTAGGTATTGAGACCTTTCCTTTTACGAAGGTTGAAAAAAGACGTAGAATCAGAATTGCCTGATAAAGTAGAAAGAGTGGTTAAGTGTAAATTGTCCGCTTTACAAATTAAATTGTATATTCAAATGAAAAAGCAAGGCGTTTTATTTGTAAATACTGGCGAAATGGGGTATGTATGATAATGATAATAATAATAATGTCAATGATAATAACGGCATCATTATTTGATTGATTGGTTAGTTGGTTGGGCTGTTAAGTTAATTAATATAACGTTTATAAATAAATATATTTATTTGAACTTTTATAGAAAAACTGGTATAAAGGGACTTAACAATACCATAATGCAATTAAGAAAAATATGTAATCACCCATTTGTTTTTGATAAAGTGGAGAAAGATTTAAATCCACAATATCCAATTTACAATAATGATCTTTTATATCGTGTTTCTGGCAAATTTGAATTGTTGGATAGGATTTTACCAAAATTTTTTAAGACTAATCACAGGGTATGTATATTAATAATGATAATAATAATATTATTATTATAGAATATATATTTTTTAAAAGAAAATATATTTATATATATAAAGGTCCTGATATTTTTTCAAATGACTTCTGTAATGACAATTATGGAAGATTTTCTAAATTGGCGTGGTTTTAGATATTTACGTTTGGATGGCACAACAAAGGTGAATAAATAAATTCAAATGCCATTCCTACCGTTAATATAAAAAATTTATTAATCAAACTATTAATCAAATATATACACATAAATTCATTCACTTAGGCTGAAGATAGATCTGGGTTACTAGAAAGATTTAATGCACCAGGCTCACCTTACTTTGTATTTTTATTAAGCACAAGAGCTGGTGGTCTTGGTTTAAATTTACAAACAGCCGATACTGTTATAATATTTGATTCTGATTGGTAATTAACTGTTTGTTCGTTTGTTTGTAATAATAAAAAACCCCCCATTTATTCATAATTTTTCTTTCTCACCATATTGTATGTAAATAGGAATCCACATCAAGATTTACAAGCGCAAGATCGAGCACATCGTATTGGACAAACTAAAGAAGTTAAAATATTAAGACTCATATCACAAAAATCTATCGAGGAAAGTATATTGGCCAGAGCACAGTATAAACTTGATATTGATGATAAGGTTATACAGGCTGGTAAATTTGACAATAAGAGTACTGCCGAGGAACGTGAAGCTCTATTAGTATGTTTTTATTTATTGTATCATTATTATTAAATTTTTTTGAAAAGAAAGACAATATATACTTACATTTTCAAATCTATGACAGCGCTCGTTATTGGGAAATGAAAATGAAAATGATGAGGCAAATGACGTAAACGATGAGGAGGAGATGGATGATGATGAATTGAATGAATTGATATCTAGGAATGATGAAGAGCAAATGTTGTTTAAACAGATGGATATTGAAAGGAATCAAAAAGAGGAAGAGGAATGGCGAAAGAAGGGCGGAAAGGGCACCAAACCTGAAAGATTGATTCAGGAAAGTGAGTTGCCACCGATATACTTGAAAGATTATGAAAGTATTATGAGAGATGAAGAAGAGACAACCACTTTGCTTGGTCGTGGTAAAAGAGCTAGAATTGACGTTAGATATGATGATGGTTTGACAGAGAAACAATGGATGAATGTAAGTATTAGAAATAATAATGATACTATTAGAAAGATTGGTAATTAGTATTAATTGAAAATGATTTAATATTTTGTTGATTTCATTTTTAGTCACTTGAGGATGATGAAATAGATGAAATGAAGAGACTTGAAACAAAAAGACGCCGTAAAGAAAAAAAGAGTCATGAAAAATCATTAGAACAAGAACAAGTGCAAATGTCATCATCGTTGTCTTCTTCTTCTTCTTCTTCACTACAACAACAACCAAACATCTCATTAACGCCACCAGATACAAACAACGACATAAATAACAATCTTAATAATATTAATAATACAGGACCAATAATTCCGAAGAAAAAAAGAGGAAGACCACGCAAACCAACTTATAATTAAAAAAATTAATTTTATTTAATAGGCAGCTTCCTTTTTTTAATAATTCATTAATAATTATTTATAAATATTAGTAGTAATAATTTTAAAAAACTAGATTAAAATATAAATATAATACAAAGACATATAATATTCATCACATACATGTACATATAATATAGACTTAAAGTGTGATTGATTAGCTTTTAATTTTTTTTTTATTTCAAAAAATAAAAAAACTTTTTCTATTACAATAACAGCAGTGGTACCAATATCAAACATTTTTGTAGCATTTTGATGGTCAAAAAATATCGAGAGATCATGATCAGTGTTGTACATGGGACATGTCCGCGTAACAATTTGTCATGCGGACGTGTCCGTCTCCACTGACAACACTGATGGATCATGATCAACAATCTAGAAAGAGTTATTATGCAACCATTAAACAGAAATTATTATCAGAAAAAATTATTTGTCACGCGACCATAAAAATCATTATTATAGTGTTAATTAATCAGCTTTAGAAAAGAGAAGATGGTTAAATGATATGGAAAAGTGGAAAAGTTGTTATGCAATCATCATTCAGAAAATATTATCAAAAAATGCAACAATCAGGAATGATTATTATGGTGTTAATTAAGAGATCCTGGTCAAATTGAAGAGAGTTGCACAACCATTAATTGTTGTTACATTATTATTATTCCAATGTAACACCATTCATTATCTGAGTATACATACGCCAATTGCGCTCCTATCCAAGAACTTCTTTTAAAAGTTAGTAAAATACTTGAACAGAAAGAAAATATTAGCTGGAATAACTATTGTTGTTCCACGCCTTCTCCAAAAACCGATTTTGGTCTGTAATTTTCTCTACTTTTCATGTGAATTACAGATTGACAATGTGGAAAACTAAATTTGGAAACTTTGTATATATATATAGCACCCAGCAGCATAGCGGACATTTGCATATTTGGTAATGATTTGCGTCAATCACATTTTGATTTTATCACGTAAAAAAGAATTTT